GTATTTCTACCCATCCATCTCAAGTGACTGAGGTTTCTGTGTTTTGCTTCTGTGTACCTACCATTTATTGATGATGTAAAATATGCAAGACCTTGGGGTCTTAGATAATTCAGGCCGCACAGTAACTTGGGGGTGAGGGCACTATCATCAACCTGTGTTCCAGCTGCAGTCCAATGCAGAATGGTCCCCAGACCATATGCTACTGGCAGTGACAGGCCCAGATTCTAACCTGGCATGCTCTCTCCACCCTCCATGTCTCTACCCCCGCCCCAGGCACCTTCCTAATGGAAACCACTATGAAGCAGCTCTGAGCAGGACTTAAATTAACCAATTGGCTTTTCATATTTACTTGTGAGTCACTGGTCCCTACTGAGGCCTGTAATGGTAGGTGAAGCCATGAGGCCTCAAAGGACAAGATAAGGCCACAGCTGGAGATGTTTAGTACAACCCCAGTTAACTAAGAGGAGACTGTAGCTGCAGGAATCTCACTCCTGCAGCAAAGGCCTTCCTAGACATAGCATAGTTCTCCTAAGTTAACATAGTGTATTACCTGGAGAAGTCCTTAAAGGGATTCCCAAGTCCTGCCCAGATTCCTGCATTTTCTTCAGTATTACCCTCCTTTGTTTGAAAACCTAATAAATATGAGCTGCCTAAAGAAGTTCTCGGTCTTAACTCAGAGAATCTCAAATTCTGTGAGAGGGTCAGATCCTCCCGAGGGAAGGATCTGAAATCATTTCATTTGTCTCACTTATACTAACCTTCGCCATTCACTTGTTTGGGAGATTGTGGGCCTGATCAGCCCGCAATAACTAAGGGTTATTACAAATGCTATACCTTTCCATTGCCTTCCTCGGTGCAGCTACACCTGGTCACAGGGGACTTCTTCAAGGCAGCAATGTCCAGGCAAGCCTAGAGTGATGAGTAGGGTCTTCCCAAGAAAGAGGGAGAAAGAGAAAACAGGAAGCACAGTAGGAAGGGACCAGAGGAGCTACAGTGCACATCCTTGGCCACTGACACTTGGGGTCCTGCCCTATTGTTACCAATAACAGTAATAGCTACCACATATCCAGCATTCATTATATGTTTCATAGAGTTATAGTTTATCCTCACAAATGCCTTTGAGAGAACTATCATTATGCTGAGCATGCTGGGACACCGGGAGGTTAGGGAACCTACTGACATGCAGTCTATGAAACCAGGTTCCATTACAGGCTTCATTTGCTACCAGAGATCTTCTACCCAGTGGCCATGCAGAATCCCAGGACAGGTGGGCTGGCAAAGACATTACTGGATTTGGAATGGGAACACAGGATCCTCTCTCAGCTCTGACATCCACCTTACACCCAGGGCAAATGCCTTCGCTTCTGGGCATCCCCATGAAGTAGGTTCCAAAGCCCCTTTCCCTATACAGAGCAGGGCCAGGACTGGAGAGGTCAGGCCCAGGAAGTGCTTTGTTGCCTGTGGTAGGCAAGTAACAACTGCAAAGTGTCTAATCCTGATTCTTGAGACTGTGATTATGTTACCTTGCATGGCAAAAGGGAAGTGATTAAGGATCTCAGATGTGGAGATGATCCCAGGTGATCCTATGTGCTCAACAGAATCACAAGGTCCTTGTGAGAGGGAGGCAGGAACATCAGGGTCAAAGAAAGAGACATGGTGACAGAAGAGAAGGGTAGAGTGACGAGCTTTGAAGATGGAAGAGGGCCCATGGGCAGCCTCCAGAAGCCAGAGAAGACCAGGAAACTGGTTCTCCCCAGAGCCGCTAGAAGGAACCAGCTTTACCACGCCTTGTTCTTTACCTGAGGAGACCGACTTTGTACCTCTGACCTCCAGAGCTGTGAGCTAAGAATCGGGGTTGTGTTTGGCCACCACACTGGTGTCTGTTTGTTACAGTAGCTACAGGAAACTCTGCAGCTCACATGCTCTACTTACATGGGAACAGTTCCAGCTGCAACTCCTCACCCTGGGGATTTTACAGGAGCATCTCCTTTGGTGAGAGCAAAATGATGCTCTTTGAGTGTGAGCAGGGCTTCAGGTAATTCCATCCTACTTCCTATGAAGGGCTTAAGGAAAAAGGAACTGAAAAAAAACCCAACAATGGAAATGAAAAATACATAATTACTTTAAACAGCACCTGATTTCCTACTGTGCCAAAGGAAAACATATCTTCTTCCCAAAGAGGAATTAAGGTATTTCCTGATGAAACCACAACTGGTTCGTCAGAGGTGCCTGTGTCTGCCAGAGGATGCTACAGTCAGTCAGGTCAGGCTGGGAGGACAGCACTGGGCAAAGAGCCTTGGGGCCAAGCAGGGTTTGTATGGGTCCAGTCCAGGGCTTTGGTGGGGTCGGGGGCTCAAGGCTTTGGGGAAGGAAATTTTCCAAGGGTTGTAAATATAACAAGCTGACTTTGTGCACAGGGGTGATGTACAATTACAATTGAATTGTATTAAATTAATACATAAACAAATAAATTTGTTTATTTTATTAATAAGACTTATTAATCTGTTACAATTTAATTACATGTAAAGACCTTAACCTTTAATTAGTGCAAAGACCCTATATCCAAATATAGGTATATGCATAGGTACCAGGGGACAGGCCAGACTTGACTTTTCTTTCTTGGGGACTTTATTAATTTTATTAATAAGATTTTATTAATAAGGCTTGTGAAAAGGTATAGAAGGTAAGAGGAGGCGGAGCCAATAAGACATCTAATCAAACTCTGCACAGCAGTGAACAGTCTTTGTGGAAGTTCCTGGTCCACTGGAAGTGCCCAGTCTCTAGCCTGGGGAAGGCCATCGGTGCTTGACAGTAGGGTCTACCCTCCCTGACCCGGTCCTAGCGAAGCCACACCAGGGAAGCAGAGCCTCCCTCCAAGGACCTGATCCGCACCCTGCCGGCCACCAGTGCGGGGGATGGGGCAAAACAAGAGGTCCAGAGATGCAGGTTCTGGTCCCTGCAACGCTGCAGTGAGCCAAGAAGTTGCTGCCTATCGTCGGGCCTCAGGTTTGCCAGCGATAGCCAGAGTCAGCTGGACTAGGGGGCCCAGCCCAAAGGTCTGGACTCCACATCCAGGTCCCCAAACTCAGGTCTGGTGCCACCCAGAGCTTCTCTGTGGCCCCAGCCCCAGCCCAGGCATTTGCCGACAATCACACTTCTCAGGGCTCTTAAACTTGTGTTTTGTTTTGTTTTGTTGTGTTATTCTGTTCTGTTCCATTGTACTGAGGATTGAACCCAGGACATTTACATTGAGTTACACCCCCTTTTTTATTTTTTTATTTCAAGATCAGGTCTTAAGTCACTGAGTTGTCACAGCTGAGTTTGAACTTGCAGTCCTCCTACTTCAGCCTCGCAGTGGTGGGATTATGGATGTGGGCCACAATGCCCTGCTTGAACCTGTTTCTCAACCATCTGGGCCAGCGAAGTTTGTTCTTCACTCTCTCCATCCCCAAGGTTGGCTCTCCTTTCTCTCTTCCCTTTAGGACTTTTACCTCTGGCTTAGTTTGGGTTCCTCAAAGACAAACCAGAGATAAGAATTTAGGTGCAAATATTTTGGGGGAGCTGCTCCCAAGAAGCACACGGGAGGATGTGAGGAAAGTGAAAGACAGTGATATGGGTCGCATTATGTCCCCAAGAAAGAAAGTCAAGTCTGGCCTGTCCCCTGGTACCTATGCCTATAACTGTATTTGGATATAGGGTCTTTGCACTGATTAAAGGTTAAGTTCTTTACATGTAATTAAATTGTAATTTAAGATATTGTGATTAGGATGGGCCTTAGTCTAATTGGAGCCTTTTCCCCCAGGTTGGTCTCTAACTCCTGGGCTCAAGTGATCCTCTCACCTCAGCTTCTCCGGTAACTAGGACTTACCGACATGCAGCACAGCATGTGGAATCCTTTCAGAAAAGGAGACATGAGCACACACAGAGAGCAGTATGTGCAGAGATAGACGCACAAAGGGGGAATGTCCTGTAAAGACAGAGGCAGAGACTGGAGCGACACCGCTGCAAGGCAAGGGACACTGAGCAATGCTAGCAGCCAGCAGAAGCCAGAAGGAAGAGTATGGCCCTGTCAGCATCTTGATTGTTGACTTCTACCCTCCAGAACTGTGAGAGAATAAGTTTCTGTTGTTCTAATCTACCCAATTTGGGATGGTTTGTTATAGCAGCCCTAGGAAACTAATACTTTATATACAGTACAACTACTGTATATAAATATTTATTTGGAGATATATATATCCTAATTGTTCTGTTCAGATAACAACTTGGGTGACACATTGTTATGGTTGATACATTGTGTCAACTTGGGGAGTCTAGAGGTTTGGCTAAGTGACTCAGCAGGAAGCCAGGGTGCTTACTTTGTATACATCCTGAGCCTGTGGAAGAGGAGGGCATGGAGATTATGTGAGAGCTACATGCCCCTTAGGTGGGGGTAGCCTGTTTACAATGTAAGGCAGGGAAAGAAGTGCTTGCCGCCACTCCTCCCTTTTTGCTCTGGCTGCTTTGCTGTTCAGCTGCCATTCCCCCCTTTGCTCTTGTTGCTTTGTTATCTTCTGCCTCCGAGCCAGCCAAGTATGGACTGAAACCTCCACAAACTCTAAGCTAAATAAACCTTTCCTTCCTTCATTTTGGGCGTTGGGTGTTTTGTCTCAGCAACGAGAGAAAAGTAACCAAGACACACATGTCATTCCCTTATTCCATGCAGCATCTTTGCATGCCCCTCCCTTCTTCATATGTATTTTAGAGGAAGCAGAGATCTTGTCTCATTACAGAGGCTGAACTAAAAGTTAAAATCTTAATATTATGGCCCCAAGTGGTAACCATTTTCCTACACATGCCTCAATTGTATCCTTCTTTATGGCAGAGGAGTACTCCATTGTGTGTAAATACCACATTTCCTTTATCCACTCATCTGTTGCTGGACAGATAGGCCACTTCCAAGATTTAGTTATTATCAGTTGTGCTGCTAGAATCATGAACACGCATGCATCATTGTGGTATGATGCCTTTAATTTTTTCGGGAAGATACATAGAGGGGGATTAGCTGGGTCAAATGGAATTTCTAGTTTTCACTTTTTTGAGGAATCTCCATGCTGATCTCCATAATGGCTGTATTAGTTGCTATTCCTACAATAAATAAAATTGGAAAAAAAGAAAAATGTACATAAAAAATAGAAATCAAAAAAGTTAAGGTCTTTACATGTAATTGACTTGTAACTTAATTGCAGAGACCTGCCTGCCCAGCACCCCTTTCAGCCAGAAGAATGGGCGTTTGGTGAGCTCTGCCAATCACACACATGTAGGTGCAAGTGCCAGAGGCTGGACTGCGTGGATGCCAGGATGGGGAGGCCGGTTACAGCAGAAATGCCCCATGTTAGACCTGGGGTCAGCAGCACTCATGGAGGTGTCAGTACTCAAGGGAGGTCCCATGGTGTCCCTCCAGTCCTGAAAATTGATTCTGAACATCATTCCTTCTGCAGAGACTCAAACCTAGGTGTGAAACACATGCAGGGGGATCCAATGAGCAGTCTCACGGCCTTTAATCCATTTCTGTTCTGCTTTAATGATCAGAATTAGCTCTAGCTGCTTGCAGCTGAGCTACCTGATTGGCATGCAGTTTAGTGCACACAGCACTTTCCACCTTTGCTTGTTGCCCCTCTGGCTCTAGGATTCTGGTGGGAGGTTTTAAAAGGGGCCAGGAATCTTCTACACAATGTGATCTTCCGCACTGGAGCCTGATTGCAGGCTCTGTCTTGCCCTTGAGTAAAATAAAATAGTGGTTTGAGTATAGGCTTTAAGAACTGCACCTGGGATATGATCCTGGCTCCTTCATGAGTTATCTCTTGTGGAGAAAGCCATTCTCTGATTAGAAAGCACTGAGGACACACAGTGATTTGTTTACTGTTGCAAAAATGAACTGAAAACTTTCACCTGAAGATAAGAGTATATTTGAATGGCAGGAGATCCCTATTTTTTAATCTTGCCATGCACTGTAAAAATTAATGGGAAGTAAGGACTGTGATTGTAGTGGATTGATAACTGGTGATGAACTTATAACCCCCAGCTGAACTGAGTAGGCATGGTGCTGGGGGTGGGAGGCCCACCAAGGGATTGTTGCCAGCAGCAACAGAGGCAGAAATGAAGATAACACTTTAATTACTAAAACGTTTGCTATCCGCCCATTTGTACCAGCTTCGCCCTTGTTTCTCGCTCAATAAAAGGTGACTGAGATTGGTAATCAGGGCTGCAGTCCAAGAGGCTGTAAGCCCCCTGATCCCAGACTTTTGCCTCTCTTGTTTTTCTTGTCTCTCTTACTATTCCTTTTCATCCTCGGGCACCTCGTTCCCAGGACCTGTCACCCTGGATAGAATGACAATTTCTGATGTACTCTTGGGTGACTTACCATCTGCCGGGAGGGCTGTGAAGCTGGAGGTGTGTCCTATTGCAGGTCACCGTCTCTACCATGTTGGAGACAGCACTTCTTGGGATGTAAAGAAAAGGACAGAGGACCTGGGGAGAAAAGGTTCTGATGACACCGTCCAGCTCTTGGACCCAGGTGGGCCTAAAGCTAAACCTACCTCTGAACTTTTCAGAGAGATGAGTCAATTGATTTCCTTCATGGTTGGTGACAACTGGGTTTTTTCATCTCAGATAAGTCTCTAAATACATGAGAAAGCACAGGGGAAGTGCAAAGCATAGATTCCAGGACACTCTGCTGTGTTTTCCCCCAGGGTACTCGAGGGTGTGGTTAGACTCCAGATGGCTTGTCCCTCCAGCCTGCCAGGACTCAATCACAAAGTGAGACAAAGCTTAGATTTGGTCTGGGGCATTGGCTACCCACAATTTTGTACTCTGCTTAACATTTTGTTATGGACATTTTTCCACTGCATCAGTATTTTTTGAAAGCCTGATTTATAATGTAGAAAAATCCAAAATGAAGATTTTCCATAAATCTTTGCCATCCTCCTATTGTTTCATTTTGAGGTTGTTTCCCATTTGCCACTTTATAAATTATGCTGTAAAAGCATGTTTGTGTCCAAAATTCTGAGTACATCATAGATTATTTTCCGGGGATGGATTTCAGAAATGGAATTGACTGGTCATGGCTATTTTTGGACCTCTTGATACCTGTTGAGATGCTCAGTTTGAGAGCAGAATCTATACTTATTTGTAGCACTCTATTACTGTGTTAACAAATCTTCATTGTCAGAAATTCTTCCAGTTAGCATTAATTTAGTTCTGTGAGCTAAGAGTTATGGTAAACAGTCTTTATGCCTGTTCCTACAGATAACAACCCAGTCACATAGATATGATTATTATACAGTTTTAGACATGAAAAAAACTAAGGCTCAAAGAAAGTGTGTGACTTGCCAGAGACAACATAGCTAGAAAAGGTAGAGGTAAGTTGTGTTCTAGGTTTATGTAATTCAATCCTATGCTGTTTTCCCAGGAAATTATTTCAGGAAGAAGCAATCAAAACCTAGTTAGGGTCCTAACTAAAATTCCCTAGCTGGTACCTGGACACTCTCTGTGTAACATCATAAAATATCCCACTGGAAATGCATTCTAGTTTATTTTGAGACCTATATCATGCATGTTGCACCTTAAGAACATCAGGCCTATTTGCATTAAGGACCCTTTCTAAGCAAAGTATGTAGAAGATGCCTATAAGGAAAGGTCCTATGTGGGTCAAATAGCTCCATGAATGGAGCATCCCTTGGTCTAGAGATGTAACTCCCCTATTGGTCAACTTGGGCTTTGGTTTATTGTTCCCTCCAGTGGCACTGTCAGGTCCCTCCTGGATTAGGTCAGAGAAGAAAGAAAAGAGGAGGTACTAGGTAGGCATTGTTCACCAAGTTCCCCTTCTGGACTGATGGAGTGGAAGAAGGACCTTTGAGAGTTTTCACAACTATGGGGTAGGTGAGCCATGCAGAAAACTCAGACCAGAACAATGGCTCTAAAGACCTCGGGTGGTTCTGGGAATTTGTTTTGGAACTGAGTTTGTTGTTCTGAGTTCCAAAGTTGCACAACCTGTCCATACCTCACCTGCACCATCTCTCACTGGGCCTCAGGCTACCTTCTAGCTGTGTCCTTTCATTAGACCCCATGGACAGATGACCCAGGACTTCAGTGTGGCCTATCCCCCAACCATCTCTAGGAGGCCTCACTCTCCCATGGTCTCTCCACCAGTGCCAGGCCCAGTGGTCAGCCGTTAAATACCTGGAGACTGGGGCCAAGTATGCCTAGGCCCAGCTATGTCCAGGGCCAGTGCTGGTTGATTCCAGGAAGCTTCTGAGACCTGATGTCTAGAACAGAGGCTTACTGGAGCTTGGAAAAAGGACCTGAGGACCACAGCCTAGTGATCTTCAGCAAATCAACAAGTGGAGTCCTTTCTCCACAGGAACCCCAACTACATAGCATACTTGTTATGGTTTAAATCTAGAATGTCCCCCAAAGTCTCATATATTCGGAGGTGGGGCCTGCTTGGAACAGACCACTGGAGACATGACCTAGAAGGTATACTTTTATCCCCAGCTTCCTCTCTCTCTCTCTCTCTCTCTCTCTCTCTCTCTCTCTCTCCCCCTTCCACCCGGTTGCCATGGGTTGAGCAGCTTTTCTCCACCGTGCCTTTCTCCTATGCTGTTTCTTCCTTGGAATCAAAAAACCTTGGATTGAATCCTCTGAAAACCATGAGCTAAAATAAACCTCTCCTCCTTTAAGTTGCTGGTGTTGGATATTTTGTGCCAGCAATGGAAATGACTAAGAGAATACCCATCCTCCAACTGGCTGTGACTCTGGGATCAAAGGCTAGTGCCCCTTCCAGTCCCCCTGCAGCTCCTCCATTGAGATACTAGGGAGGCAAAGTTAGCTCATCCCAGCCCCCTTGACTCACCCGCTGCCTTCCCCAAAAGACTATTAATAAAGACATCACATCATTGTGTCATTTCCTCCCAAATTACAGCATGTGATCCCAACAATGAGGTAAGGATGAGGTAAAGGGTCAGGGGGAAATGCTGTCATTTCGCCCCCAGTCACTGTTGCAGGTTTTTGGACAGGAGAATGACTGGTTACTGAGCAGCTGTCAGCCTACCTTCTGCAAGCGGCTGAGCAAAAGACAAATTTCACTTTAAGATTTCATTCCCTTGGCCCATTAAAATCCTCTCTAGAGTGTCTGCCAGTGGCAGACAAAGGCCCATGAAGTCTGAGACACTGGAAACCCCTTTCTATCCACCACCCCCTATGTTTTATCCCACATGGTGTTGCAGATTTTGAAGTTGGGTATAAAGGAACTTCTTCCCCAACTTCCACTTCCAAGAGCTAGCGAGCGCTCCACACCCCTACATACAACCGCTAGAAGGGAGAAGGGTATTTTTTTTTCCAACTCCCCTAAATCTTGCAAGAGTGGTTCCCAGAAGTCAAGCCTGAGTTTTCTCCCATGCATGTAAACATCCTGAAATGACCTTGGAAGATTATGGCCCCGCCCCTCTCTTTGGGACTGTACCCGGGGCCTCCAGAGGACAGAAGAAGGAGTTCCAAGTAGCCTCTCCTTCAGAGCCAGTGACAGAAGAAGGAGTTCCAAGTAGCCTCTCCTTCAGAGCCAGTGACCTCCTTCAGGGCCAGAACCTGTCTTGTCACCTCTGTGCTGTGGTGCTGAGTTGGTTCCCAGGCTTCTGTTTTCACATCTGTATTGTGGACACAATCATGCTTCTTCTCTGAGCTGTCCCGAAGACTGGATGCATGGCTGTGGGGCAGACCCTGGCATGGAGCGTTTGTGATAGTGGCCTCATCATCACAGGAGGATGAAGATGGGCAAACTTCTTGAGCCACTTGTACAACAGGGGAAGCAACAGCAATGCCTACTTTGGGGTCCTGGGAGAATTAAAAGGGATCCTGGCTGTGAGGTCTACCCTGAACCTAACACTTTGGCACTCAGCAAATGGGATTCAGGGAAGATTTCAGGGCCATCACCACCCAAGGGAAGGAGGTGGAGCGCTCAGCTTGCCTCCTCAGAAGTCTGCCAACCCTAGCACAAGCCCTAGGTGTTTCATGCAAACATAATGGGTTGAAAGTGTAGATGCTGTTTGGGAGATAATCAACCTGGGGCAGGGGAGGTAGTGCAGTTGTAGGGATGGAAGGGCTCCAAGCCTGAGACAGGAGAAGGCTGTGTAGCTAGACCTTGTCAGGCTAGATTCAAAGAAGATACTAAATGTGGCCAAGCATGCAGATGCCCCCATTTATCCCACCCAAGCTCAGCAGCAGCAAGGCAAAGCCTACCCATTGACATCTGTCCATGCCCTGCCCACTGACATCTGTCCCTCTCCCACACCTGTTCCTCTCTGCCTCTGCCAGAGAGAGAACTTTCTTTGGCACCAACAGGGTACTGGAAGCCCAGGATCAGTCTCTCTGGGCCAAGATCAAAGACTCCTTCTGGAAACTACAGGGGAGAACGCATTCCTTCCCTTCCCCAGTTAATGGTTGCTTGGCTTTATTCCCGTTTTCAAGGTCAGCCTCTTCCAGCGCTCCCTGCTCCATTTCTACATTGCCTCTCCTTCGCGCATGCCAAGTCTTCCTCTGCCGCTCCTGTAAGGATACTGGTGTGTGTTTGCATTTAGTACTCACTCAGATAATCTGGGATTCTCTTCCCACCTCAAGATCCTTAATCCTATTTACTAATTCCCTTTGCATATTCAAGGTGACATAGAGTCTAGAGATGAGGACTTGTTAGCTATTGGGAAACTGAAAATTCTGCCCAATAGGTATATACATGAATGTGTTTGTACATATGCATATGAGTGTGCTGTGAATAAATGTGTGTATGCATTGTGCTTCTACCTATAGTTTATTACAGGGATTTGGTGTTGCCCAACTGTGGGAGCCACCTGAACAGTCCTCAGCTGTTCCACCTAAATGTGGGGCCAGAAGTCAGTGGGCCGGAAGGGAAGATGGATAGGAAGTAGGGCAGTTAGGAAAACAAGGGAAAGCAGAGCCTGCAGAGATGGACTAGACCCTACACTAATCTCTCACCACCCTGGGTTTCCCAGCTGCAATGCCAGGGCACACCTTCCTTGCAGAGTTAGACTCTGACTCAGGGGTTGGTGGGGAGGCTGAGGAAAGAGAGCTGGAGCAGCAACTGTTCCACACCAGCTACCCAGGTGGGCCCACAGGTAAGTGCCCATGTACAAAGCTGCATGGAGCCTTGGGCCCTGTGCCAGCCTCCCAAGTAGAAAGGAATATGGTCACTACTTCAGTTCTACCTTCAAAATGTCATGTAAAACATCTCTCACGACCCACACCAAGCTGATCTATGGAGGAAAAAGAATTCTGGGAAATGCACTCACTCCTTTACAGATGGCCACTGTCCTGGGAGGCCTTAGGTCCCCTTGGGACACTGAAGCACTGGCCTGGTAGACTGAAGCAGCCACATATGAGCATAGGAACATTCTCCTCTATGGTGAACCTCAGTTCTCTAGTCAAGAGACCTCTAGTTTTGGAGACAGCCTTACTCTACA